AATACAACGAACACACTTGCTAAAAAAAAAAAAATTCCGCTCGTGTCATTCGCTTATTTACCGTATATCCAATAATTTCATGCGCCGTGCGTATTTCTGGAAACTTGTTCATTGTACAGTACAATATGTACAATATATATAGTATCAGGAATTATCATTAAGCAAGCCATGCTACGACAGTTACAAGTATGAAACAAATACAAGTTGAGGATATGGTAAATGAATTCGTATGTAGTAAATTCAGTCTAACTTCATAAAGTTACTTCGGGAAATTTTTGAGTTGTCGCAATTCTTGGAAATTGAAAATATCAACGTGTGTATTAGTTTCAATGTTGACAACTGCGAGATACGTAAAAAAGAATAAAACAAGATTACATTTAAAAAACAGACTTGAAATTTGATATGTAGGTACTGTAATTTCAAATACGGCGTAGTTTTTTTTCACGTCAGAAAGACATTGTTTAGCCAAAAAAAAAACATTCCTGGCATGCGCACAGCTGCCTCCATGTAGAAGAAGAAACCTGGTGTGTGGTGTGAATTGATTGAGAAAGCAACTGAAACCCGTCCGTGGACCTATTCAGAAATCGTTGTCCATCCCCCACCTTGGGTTCAAAGGACCGTTCGGGCACCGCGTTCGCCCTCGCTGTGCGACCGTGTGCATCCCGAACATGACGCTTGCGTTCATAAAACTACGTCGAGAAACGTTCGAGTTTCAAGGGCACATTGGCTCACTCAACGTTGCTTTGTTGGTTTGTAATGTTAACGCTGTTTATGCTTGATGTAAGCATAAAAATATGCATATACAAGGGTTGGTGGATACGTTTTGAGACTTTTTGAAATAATGCAGACCGAGTTTCAGTTAGTCAAAAACCTATTCAAGTCAAATCTAAAAAAAATCCATTTTAGGAGGTTTTAAGTTGAGGAAACGGGCATTTTTGCTGAGGGGAAAGAAAGATAAGAAGAATAATTGCATGAACTTGTCAATGGTGATATTCTGGACCTTAATTTGCTTCTTGAATAAGTTGAGTAACGCATGTTGAAATTGTAGGCTCAGTTCAAAATCTTCGGAATAGGCATAAAACTGCTGTTGGGAACAAGCAGTTCCCTCCTACCGCGAGGACCGACCCCGTTTCGTCACGCGTTCACAACGCGTTTCCCGTAGTGTGCGGATCGGCACACCCCAAACGCGAGGCGTACGTTCATAAAAGGAATCCTGGAAACGTTCGAGTCCCATCCACGCAGGGAGAGTCGGAAAACCTTCTTTGCCGTGCTCTCACGGCTGCTCTGGTGGGGCATCCGTAAGGCGTGCGTCGTGCGTGCGCCCCAACGCGCGGGTCCCGCGACGAAACAAAGCAGTTTTCTTCCTTCTATTCGACCAAGCAACCAAGGATACCGAAGTGGAGTACCCAAACTCCACTTGTTTTTCAATGTCTCTGACGTTTAGGAATATATTGAAGAACATACAGTCCAGTACAGGTACAACATTCTTCGAGAGGAATTTGAACGAAATTGTTTTTTCTGTACGCGACAAACAAGTGTGGCGGTGAGATAACCACACTTGCTTGGATGACTCTTCTTCCTTTCAAAGCATAAACTTGACGAATAAAGTTACTTTTCTTATTGCTTTTATCTTTCTTGTATCAAGGAAGTAAGGACCAAAAGGCCGCAGATTCAGGATTTTTGAGTTATTTGTATACTTGAAAGGAAAGGGTTTTTGATGCATTGTTTCTAAGAGACTCAAGTTTTGGGTTACGGAAGCAAGCATTTTTTTGTGTGGTGGAAAAGGAATAAGAATTACAGGGAATTTGGTAATATTAATGGCCTCAAGTTGATTTTTAATTTAATTGACAAGATTCTAAACCTATTAGAATCAAGGTACTGTACATCATTATTTGCCCCACTAGTCTTTCACTTCCTTTCAAAACACTTTGTTCTATTTTCATTGCTTTTCTATTTATTGTGTCAATAAAATATTGAACAAAAAGCCTCCAGAAAATTTGACTGATTGAGGGGGTAAGGGTAAGGAGGTTTTTGATGCATTTTTTTCGAAGGGAATTCAGACAGAGACTTTGAAAAAAATTGACATAGTGAGGTATTTAACTTCTGGAGGTTTGAGTTATCAAGGTCCAGATTAATCAAGACATAGACATTTGGTTTATCCTTCAATGGTGGAGGGTTCTTTCCCATAGTGGAACAGAATTGGATTATTTTGTATCCTCCTGCATTTTCAGTTTTTCAATGGTTAGGAAAACCATTCCAGGTGGGCTGAGGCAAAGTCAGGATTAATCCAAGAAAAGCTGGTAGCCAAACTGAGCATTTTCTTTTCCCCGCAAAATTTGTCTTTGCCCAGGGCAAAAAGCATGAGGATTTCCCCCTCCCTTTTTGCCCTTAAAACCCTTGGATGGCAGAGGGTTCTTTCCCATTGCTGGCCAAAATCAGATTATTTTTGTATGCTGTGGCGTTTTAATTTTTCTGAAGGTCAGAAAAGACCTTCCAGGCACGTGGGCTGAGGCAAAGTTGGGATTGATCCGAGAAAAGCCAATTGCTTAGCATAGGATTTTTTTCATTTTCCCATGAAATTTTTCTGTGAAAAAAGAAAAAAAACATCGGATTTTTCCCTGACTTCGTCCTCAAATCCCTGTTGCCCTTTTTTTATTTTCTGCCCTGAGGTGCAACAAAATTTCGCATAAATAGCCCAACTTTGCCGCCCATGGGTTAAATAGACAAATTTTAACAGCAACAAAATTGCAGGGACAGTGTGTTGTGACTTCGTGAGTGAGACTCCAACAATCTCAATCTTCTTTTTTTTTTTCCGACTCGATCGAGCGACGTTCCAGCAGTAGGATAGATTCACTCCAGAAAAGACAGCTGCGCCGGAGGAATAATAAGACACAGACCTAGAAACAGATATAAATACAAGAGGCCTCTTCATCAGCATGGATTTAATGACACCTTCTGCCACGAGGACTAGACACAAGCCAGCAGCAGCAGCGGCCGTGTTCCAGCTGGAAACCGTGTTGGCCGAAGTCATCGCGGCCCTGGCCATTCAAACAGAACTCCGCATCTCGGCCAAAGAAGCCACCCAATGCGCCAGGTTCGTCACGAAGCTCGCGTCGGCCAGCCGGGATTTCCTCGCGGGACTCGCCGATGGAGTCCACCAGGCCCTGGACTCCCACGCCCTCATCTACCCATCTGCGTTCCACTACAACGTCCGTGTCTGCGTCATGATCTGCGTCGTGTGTTATGCCCTGAGGAACACGGTGTTGGTCGGGCTGAGAAGCCTGTGGGAAGAGAGACACGCGAGGATGCGACAGGTGCTACTGATGGGCACTCGGTGCTGGTCCCGAGATGCCACTATGACGTCATCAGCATCATCAGTTGGACCTATGAGTGCGCCATCGTCGTACAACAACATGGGAGGCTGGTGGTGGTGGCCCAGGGTGGACTTGAGCCCGTTTGCTGAACCCGCGGGTCCGGCTGGATATTTCGTCGGTTTTAATATTTCGTGACGATGCAAGCACGTTGTAATAAACCAAGTATCTGTATCGAGCATATAATTACGATTCGCCCACTCGTGAAACCTTAATTGAGTCACTGGATGGAAAAGATACGGTTTCTCTCCACGATGAATCGCTTCGGGTGAACCGATTTATTTCGCAGAAAAATGCTTGCCTTCGATTGGAAAACTAAATTTTCAATCTCGAGACAAATTCATATCGAAAAAATTTTCCTTGAAACCACTGCATCACTGCACATTTTTAGACCTTAAAAGTAAGCTTTTTTTTATGTAATCCAGTTGTAGTAAAGTTTCGTGCAGGATTCATTAATTCACGACGAGGGAACTAGAATTTTCTGGCAGGAAACTAACGATTTTTATGTTTTCGCTCAGAAGAAAAAGCTTTTTTTTATGCAAGAAATGATTATTGCAAGAAAAGTTTATTTAATTTTATTGGAAGTTTTGCAGTGAAAGATTTGTCCGAGTGAAAAAATGTAGAGTAGTTCTTATGCTTGAGTTTTTTGTCGTTTTTAAAGAATTTCGTCTCCCGGCCTTGAAGGAATGTGGTGCGGAGAAAAATATTTAGAATGTACGATAAAAAATTAATTTCAAGCGGTTGGGAAAATTTGAAAAAATTCTCATCAAATTTGAGATATTTTACTCGAAATATTGCAAGTTTTTTTTTCTTTTTTAACATGTTCCTGTTTGACCGCTTATTAAAAATCTTGAGGGCGCGCGAAACTGGGACAACCTTTCAACGAAGCCCTTTATTAGTCGTAATTGGAAATCATGCGCGTGTACGAGGCAATTTTTATTCTGGAATATTTGTGTGTGTGTGTGCTTATTATAAGAACGTATAATGACTAAATACCAATGCAGCGGAAAACTTCAGATTTGTCGTGGTTTTAAATAATATCGACCGAAATTCAATTTGCTGATTTTTTCCGCCTGAATATTCGAATCCTGTTCAGCATAAAACCCAGCTTGATAATTAGTCTAGTTTTCTTGGCTCTACCCTGTTTCCAAGAAGTTGCTGTAAATTTTGCCGTTATTCATCTGTAGTTTCGCCTTTTTTTCTTGAGCTTTGAAAAATAATGCAGTGATTCGGAAATATTTTTCATTTATGAACTCACTTCCAATAATTTTCACCCTTGCTGAATGATCATAACTATAGTAAATCTTTAGAGTTCGATTTAAACACTCTTCGTAATGATGGATTTTTTCATCCATTAAAGAAAATCTCGCGAATTTTCAATGTCAGAAAATCCAATTAAAACTTATAAACATACTGTAGCTCAAATCCTGTAAATTTCCCAAATCTATCGCCAAAAGGATCATCAATGGATTGGAGGACTGTTCAAGCGACAACACTGAGGTTAGTATTGAATTGTATAATCGATCTTTTTATGTTCCAATTGAGTGTTTCTTTTTATGATTTTATGCAGGTGCTGGAATTCATCTTTGACGAAAAGAAAAACTGGAAGAAAAAAATTTTGCCACGGACTTCAGGAGTAACACGAATCGAAGGCGTTTTAATTCTGCTAACATTATCGTTTTTTGGCATCTTCGTTCACCCGCGAAAAGTTTTTGTAGCTGCTGATGCATATTTGCATATTAGGGGCTAATAAATTAAAATAATTTCCCCTTCATTAGTAATTCGAATTTTCTCATCATTTCTCTGTCCTTCTCGATGATCCCGACGGGGAAATCGTCCGGATTCGTCACTTCGTTTTCCGACGAGCTTCGGTCATGATGGGAAACGTTCTGGTTTCTTCGCTTATTTTTCGAGGCGCCTGAGTAAATATCCGATTTCGGAATCCCGATGGATTTCATAAGTTTCGTGGCGGTTCTGACGGCATGTTTCCGACTGCTTCCGGCATTCCTGGCTTGATTATATGCCCGCCAAAAATGAGCACCATAAATTGCGGCAGTGTATTGTTGCTCGGGGCTGATGCCGATCGGGGGAATCCGGAGAGGAATGTTTTTCGGAGGGAAATCCATCGCTGCTGAAAACGCTTCAACGACAAACACCTGTAAAAAAAAAGTCGAGGTCTTGATATTTGAAGATTCGAAAATGAATTACCATCACTCAGTAAAATCTTACTTCAGTCCGTTAATCAAGTCATGAAACCATACAAAAATCTTCGTTAAACGGAAACAAATTACTGTGCAAAACCTTTTTAAAACGAAGCTGCTGGGAACAATATGAATCGATTAAATAGCAAATTATCTATTTTGGGCGGGAACCTGAAAAGCGAATTCGTTGAAAGCAAGAATTGTTATAACGATATTTCACTACAGTGTATGATGACATTAACTTGAAATCGGGCATGGGACCTATAAGAAAAAGAATTCTGCTTGAGGAATAATTTGTCAAATCGAGATTCGAAGTTTCTAGAATCGTGATACGTTGAAGATTTGTTTTCGGTTTAGATTTAAGATGCTTGAGTTATATTTTAGGATGTAGAAAATCAGATAAATGTTCGAGTATTACCGTATTTATTCAGGCACAAACTTAATGATCGAAATGGGTCACCCAAAAGTTATTTAGCAGGTTTTTCATTTATTATGATACGAATGTAATGTTTGTACAATATTAACATGAAGAGAGACAAAATACGTTTTTTATGAGATTGAGTTGGAGTGAGTGATGCATTTTTTACGTTGCTGAACGATACTTTTTTTTTTCAAAGGTAGAAAGTGTGCAAAAGAATCTAAGTAAATTAGGGATTAGAAGAAGAGGGAACCAAATTCCAATAATTGAGTAACGATTCTCGTTAATTAACATTCCAAATGGAGACAGTCGAATTAGTGCAAGCAGTATATTTCCGCATAATTTAATTTCAAGCTCGTGTTCAGGGCTTATTTTCCAGGTAAATACAAACAGTATTTCTTCGTAAGGTCTGAAATTAGTATTTGGACTCAATCAAAAACAAATAGTATTTATTTTAGGGGATAACATCAGCTCAGAAGAAGGTAAAAGGTTGATGAAACAAGAACCGAAAAAGCCAGATTTTTGAGCTTCATTTCGTCAACTATTTTCCAATCAAAACGTGCACTAAAAATAATAAATCAATGAAGAAAAAACCCCGATGTTTGATTATCTTGACAATGAATTCAAAAAGCATCCGCTTACCAAAATGGCAGGAAAACAAATCACCAGCATTCGTTGCACTTCCATCTCAAATTGAATTAGACAAAAGACAGCACAAATATACGTCTGCCTAAAAAAAAAAAAAAATCTCACGCACGAATCTGTTTGTGAATTTGGAGCTGATGAAGAAGTGCTGAGATCCGCAGCCACCTGATGACTGAAGGCTCGAAATACATCACTTCGTATTATTACCTCACACGGCACGTATATTTTTCTTCTTATAATTTACCCATTTCTTCGAAATTTTTTCTTTCTCTTTTTGCAGTTGAGGAGTCTTGCGTGAAAGTTTGTGCCGTAAAGTGCGAAGGAGGCAATTTTTTCTTTCTATTACTTTGATCTGATTTTCCTTTATTTTTGTCCTTTGTAAATCACGCGGTGGTTGAGACCGATTGCTTGAAGCGTGACTGCAAAGAAGAATGCCGGGAGTATTGGAGGTGAAAGCATGTGCGCGCTGTTTGATGAACGCAGTCATCCGTTGCTGGACTGTGCCTGCTTTTATACAGCGGTTCATACTATTTTACTCGTATCGGTCTTTAAGATAGATCATTCATTATAGATGTCATCAGCGACATTACAACTCATGCCTGTCAGCATCGATTAGATAATCAATAAATGCTGGATTATATTCTACCATTTGTCCGAAATACAGTACTGTACATCTTAATTCCTTATTCCTTTGTGTTGTGTACTTGTGACCAGCAATTACTTTTTATCTTCGTTTCCCTCTTCCATCTCTCTCGAATATCGATCGAAGAGGCACGGAAAAGCGGATTGTGGTGAGCTTTTGTTGACTCATTATAACGTCACTGCAAAACGGCTTTTGAAACGGCACCAACTGAGGAAAATTCCGCAAAAAAGAAATGCTGCGGAAGAAAAGGCTGAAATAAAAAAGCATGCATCAGGTAATCATGCGTGAACGTGGATTGTGAACCACAGAAGAAGTGAAGAAATTAATTAGCAGTATAGGCTAAAACGTTGAGCCGGAGACGAATAATGGTCATTTAGAGATACATAAACTTCATACAGTATGAGTATAATCCACTCATCTGCGTGATGGAGAAAGGAATCACACAAACGAAAATATAAAAAAAGAAATGATCAAAGCTATATGGTGGAAATGATTTTTAAAATTATGACGAACTTATTGCAAACAATTCAGAGTAAGATTACAGTATCGGGTAAACTGAAAACATATGTACGCGCATTTTCTGATATTGCCCTTTGTTCTCCTGTAGCTCTTATATTGAGAAAGTTCTCTTTTAGACAAACAGTATTATACCCCGTGCTGTGCATTTATTGTCCGGCCTCATCAATCTCAAGTTATTCTTATTATTCCCTTCAGTGACGACTTATTTTCTGCCGTATTCAAAACGCGGGGAGGTTTCTTCATTTTGGTGTTTTTGTTAAGTTGAATCTCTTATTCTAAATGTTTAGGATGAACTTAGTCAAAACGGCTTTGATAAGTACAATACGTGTTATGAACGGTACTTATTTCCATATTATATATTATTATAACTTGACAACAAGCTTGATGCGTCGTCCTTGACACTTCTGCATCAATTTCAGCACTCGGTTATCTCGAGATATCCCGTTATTACCAGGGAGAATAAATCTTCAAATTCTTCCAATTCTGTATTCTAAGGATTTTTACCGTAAAGCTAAAATTGTAACATCATTTATTTTGCAACGATCGAGATACGTCAAATCATTGGATTGTTGAACGAATACTTTTCGGCATGAGAACAAGATGAGAGCGTTAAAAGATGCGACCTCTAGGTTTTTAAAAAGGAAAGCTTTTTCCATCCAAAAATCCCGCACAGAGAATTTTCTGTGTCTGTTTGCTGACGGCATCTACCGAATCGGGATGGCCTACATGAGAAGAGATGGTTATTCCTGCACCCTGTGATTCCGGGATTAATTGCAGGGTAGCAGAAAATTATTGTCTTGAGTGAATGTGAATTCGTGTCGTCGAATATATATGCGGAGAAAGTAGCTACCGTTTATGTGTCTCTCTTCACGTGTAGTTCTTCGATAGCGTTACTAATGCGCGTCTTGATTCGATAATGATTAACAGTCCGCTCATTTTCATCAATTGTCTGCCCAATTGCCCGGCGTAAGTTTTCTTGGAACCAGTTTGATGTTAGCAAGGCACCTTCATGAATTTATCACTATCATGACGGTGAGTTTTGCTAATCACCCGCTACCTATTGAGAATGTGCTTCCGTATTTCTCAATATTTCCATGTATCGATTTTTATGATACGGTATATGGCTGGCTTACGAACTGTACAATTCGTATGTTATTTTTCAGGTAATGCTCAGAATGGAAATCCACGCTTGCAATGTGAATAACCTGACTAAATCATCATCGGTGCATTCATGAGCATGATCTCATGTGTGTAGAGCCATGTGGGTGTGAATATTTCTTGATTGGGTAGCTGTGATGGGATTACTCTCCTCGAAAGAGCAGAAATCGGATCCGCGCAAACATCCATCGAGGGAACAGCGGAGAGATTTCCGTAGCGTTAGAAATGATGATCTTCCTTTGGTCCTTGTCCGGCCAAGGTGAGCGTTGTTTTTCATACTGTACAATCCATCGAATGCGGTATAATTAGTTGAATCTTTCCTGTCTCAGTTCCATGTACTTCGACGAAGACGGTGACCTGGCGCACGCGTTCTACGAAGAAGTTTGGAATTCCAAATTCAAAGGCCGCGTGTTCATGCGAAGGATTACAAAAAATCTTCGCCCACAGGTGGTTTTATGACGTATTCCAGATGAATGCATTTTAATTTAATTGTTTTTCTCGTAAAGGTTTACATGAAGTATCCTCATCCTCGGCTCCCGTGTGATTCTCCAAAAATCCTCATCGACTGTAGATAGTTCATGAAAATTTGCAACGATTGTTATCACGGATTCGTATCAGCGGTAGAATTGCGTTTGAGCTTTTGTTCTTTCATGTGGTGAATTACGTTACTGTGCGCGGGATTCGTGCTCTCAGTCAATGCACTATTGGGATTTTCGTATCGCCGTTTTTTGAGGACTTCTCGTATATTGTAATCAATCCGTCATATTATTTTTCCAGGCGGTCAGATGTACTTGAATAAGATGTTTTCGTTTCGTGACATGACGTCCTGCGTCTCATAAGTTAGGCCACTGTTGCCTAAGTGAATTGTCGGCGAGTATTTGCATGCTCCGTATTCTTGGAGGATTGCAAGTACGAACAGCCTGAACCGACGTCGCGATGAGTGGAAAAGGAGGCCCCATGAACAAAAAAGGTTTGCTTTTCCTATTTCCGTATTTATTCGAATATGAGGCGCAATCACCGAAAAGACGCACCTTTATATTTTCTTGCTGACGCACATCCTCGCCCTCAATTTCTTGAAAATCACACGTCTCACGATTCTACTCATACTTCGGACACTAGCTTGATATCCTTCATCACGTCTAACTTGAATCAGGATTACCACACGAACACTAAATGGTTGCTCTTACTTCAAATTGGATGTGCCATCGTATCTGACAGCCAAGAAATCTGAGACGCACTTAAATTATTTCGGTGTGAAAATGCGCCTTATATTAGAGTGAATGCCGTAAAATTTATCCTGCTCGTGTTTTTACACATTTTATGTTCTTCGATGCCAGTTCGAGCTATTCAAGCGAAGAAAAAGCGCCCTGCACGGAAAGCGAGGCAGTTGCAGAATAATATAAACAATCAACAGCAACAGAATCTGAGAGAGCCAGAGGTCCCTTCGTCATCCAGTCAGGTCCAGAAACCGAATGGACAGCGTCAGAAAAATAAGGGTGCAGGAGCTCAAAGAAATAAAGTCCCTGACGAGCCTTGCGTTGCCGACGTTGAAGCCAACCCTGACGCAAAATTAAGCGATGACGGGTGAGTTATGTTTCAGTTTTGAAAATCCCAAAGTAATCTAGTCGTCAGGAGGACGTCGTTGAATACTTTTCGAATAAAAGGGGAACTCCAAAGATAAGCGAGTGGGCCGAGTTCGGAATTCGAACGCGCTTTGTCTAAAATATAGAAGACAGCTGATTTTATCTGGTTTACCGGTGTTCCGTGGACACGTGAACGAATGAGTGCGATGTTCTGAATTTTTTAGGGGGAATTTTTCTCATCTTGTCAGAACTGGGGTAATGATCGTGTTGCCGGTTTCGAGGAAACTGGGTCTTGGGCATCCCCGTGTTTTTACACGATGAAAATGAGAGCGAAATATGTGCGGTTTCGGGTTTCGGCTGGTGAGTTCAGCGGGATTGTGTAATAATAGCTACTAGAGAACCCAAGGTCGCCAAAAGACTTTTCCGTGTGCAGAAAGCGACTGTTCATTTTTAGCTTCGCTATTTTTAATGCGTTCTACTGCTGTATCGTTGCATGATCGTTGATTTCGTTCCAAGCGGAATTCAAAATTTTTTCTAATGCCGGCGAGTTCGACCGCTCCCACATGTTTATGAATAAAAGTTAGGTGTTGAAAGAAGTATTCGCTTTTGCGTAGGTATCATCCTTTAAATAAACACCTACGCGAAAGCGTGGTTGAGTTTTGCGTTTTCCTGTTTTATATAAGTATTTTTTGAGCAACATGAACGGTTGGAATAAATACATTTCATGTTCACTTCTATGTTTAAAAAAATGCTATTTAAATTCCAGATGGATGCTTCATATGTAAAGAACCCAAGAATTATTCTACTGTACGGTACAGTATTCGTAAAACTATTCTTAATCCATGTGAGAGGTACATCATGTGGTATCGGCGTCTGTAGGATAATTCTGGTTCACTGAGAACCCAACGAACCGTCGTATTTTCTTGGTCTCCTTATCGAAGATGGGCGTTATTTGCTGACTTGTTCGCTGCGTCGGTCTGAAAACCCTGGTCGTTTCCTTACGAACTTCCTCTGAAATCTCTGTCCGGCAATCTGTGTAGTGAACACATAGAAGAAGTTAGCTTACATTGAAGGAGGAGTGGTGTGGAATGTAAATCGCTCTGACGCTTAGAATAAACAGGAAGATCCATCCGAACTGAACAGGACCCGACGGGTTGATCTCTAGAACTGAGGCAGGGCTTTTTGCCTAAAGCCGCGGGGGTTTACGATGAAACCCTTGGCAAGAAGGTCGGGCCATCTTCCCGCGGGTACGTGTACTTCCGTAACCCAGTTTTCCGCGTGGTTGTTGTCCCAGTCATCGCACACAAGTCACCCGATTCTCCAGGTGTCCGCTGATGCTTCGCTACGCAGAAGACATTTCGTGTTTAACAAGGAAGCAACCGGTATTGTCGGAAAGTTTGCTGAGGCATTACTAAGCTGAAATGCAGGGAATGAGTTATATGCGTGTTTCTCGCTATGTGTGTGTTTGTTCGTGATGACGCGTTGAAGTGGTCTTTGCAATCACTGGGTTCTGTGGAATTCGGGACAATGATTATTCGAAGTTATTGTGTTGGCATTTTTCCGTGAGAAAACGTCGCTCGCTTTCCAGCAATGATTGACTACCCTTCGTGAAATGATTTAATGAAAAATTCTGGTCACATAGCATTTTTGGATCCTTGGACCGTATACCGTATTTGGATATTTCTGATTTAAAGGGTCCCGAATTTATTTAATACTGTGCTGTACCTCGATAGTCCTTCAGTTACGAAATTCATGAAAAAGGTAACCGCTCTGTTATCGTCTTAGTTCTGGGTGAAACAATTGAAGCTATTAAAAACATCTGAGAACTGCTGGGTTTGTTGCAATACCGCCTTTGGGTCGTGCGAGGTCAAATTGAAGGGTCATCGTCAACAGGAGGAGTACGAATTTTTTTTTTCAAGTGCTTTCGGGTGCTCCTAGTGAGACGATTGTTCAAGTAATATCAGAATGTTTTTAATGAAGACCTGCTATTGATATGTATTTCGGAATATTGAACAGAATTTTACTGAAAAACAAAGAGCATCTAGTTTCATCCGCCTTTCATAAACATTTGTTTGTAACTTCCGGGACTTCCGTGAACCTCGGTGGATCATGCGGACGGGATTACTTGATATGTTCGAGGAAACGAATTGATCGATGTTCGAAGAAAAAATCAACAATCGACGCATGATATTTTTCGTCTACGTTTAAAATGAAATTTGATTCCGAAAAATACTGCCGTTATATTTGAACGAGTGTCCCTGAAATCTTGGATTCGGATCGGTTGTGCTTGTCTGATTTCATTCAGTCCAACTGTCTCGCCGACGTGTTATTTTCTGAAACTGGGCTTCCTTGCATTAATCCACGCGTGACACGTGTTCTCTTTTTCGAAGTCGCCCTCTTTCATTCCTACTCGTTTTTGTTCGCACGTATGTGTCATCACATTGTACCTTGTATTCTGAAACATTTTCAAAGTTCTCATGCGATGAACATCAAAAACTTCATAGTCGTGCCAGCCATTACATTTCTACACGTTACAGTAATACATCAGTCGAGGAAATTTCTAAGGATCGGTGAACGTTTCTGTAGATACTCACGTTTGGTTATCTGGTTGATTGTTGAAAGCTTCTGGATGTCCTTTTCGGAAACGAAGTCTTCCGTTTTGTAAAGATGAACAAATTTAACTCAGTGACTCGATGTGAAACAAATCCATAGAAGCATTTTCAAGCGTCTTGGCAATTCAAGCATAATGAATCATTGCCAAGTTTATTGGAATCAAAATCTAGATTCAAATCAATTGATATTTCATCATGCTCTCGAAATTGTTCTTTATCATTGTGGACGAATCCGAATTGATTAACGCAGTTGCTGGTTTTTCCAATTGTTCAGTTTTCCCATTTTCAAGCGCTTTTGTCTGCACTCGAATAAGGTTTATTCAAAAACGGACATAAGTTGAGAAAAGAACACTATTGTTAAATTTGAATCACGAATTGATATTTCAGTTTACTGTAGTTCAGTGATTGAGCCAGGCCTTGACCTTGAGTTATGCGTGGATTGAAGATACGGAATCGCGATGGCTCAAGCCTAGGAAAATTAAAATTTTCCCAAAGGTAGTGAGTGAAATTGCAGTTAGATTTTCGTGGATTGTTCGCATGTACGACTGAACTCCTATAACGTGCTGTATAAAAGTAGTGTGTAAGAAATCCATCTGGAATTTTTGAAGACGATCAAAAAACAATTATACGACCTGCACTTTTCATTATCTTATGCGAGGAAACGCGATACAATCTTTCGGAGTCTTTCTTCTGTTCATAATCTGAGATGACACCTGAATAAAATCTTTTCCGCTGTGCCCCGATCGGCTAAAGGTTTATGATAGAAAATAAAAATGAACCAAGTGTTCCACAAAACGTAAGTTTTTTTTTGTGAGACAGGTCGAGGTTAGGAAAGCCCCCTTCGGCAACTTTCGTTTCAACGTGATGCCCATGCATTGCAACCGTGTCGGACTGAGTTCACGGGTGTTGCTTGCATCTTCCCCCGAGGGAAAACCCTAATGATTTCATATCTCAAACCTGTCCGGTGATCCAATATTTTTGCCGATCTCTTTCTCTCGCCCCTTTTCGTGTGAGAATTTCGGTGTGCGCAGTTGGAACCCGTCTGTGGTACTTGCTACTTTTCCTGGCTCGCTCCAACATTCGACCGATGATTTATTTTGCTTGCGGCTATCGGAAGATGTGCGGTAGGAGGAAAAAGGGACTGGCGCGACCCAGATTTCTGATAGTACTCGTCGTCGTTTTAGGAAGGAAACAACGGCTTTTTTCTCTCTCCCCCGTCCCAAACTGGTTAAGAGGTGGCGATCCAAGAAAAAATGTGTACGATTTTTTGGCTCCCGTGTCAATCTAGGTCACGGCAACAAATGTTATTTTCTTGTTGACTTCGCTGCGTGTGTGTGTTTGTGTGTGTGAAGAAAAAAAGGAAGAAATGGAGGATCGATTCCAATAGAGTTTCTCTGTGATTTGGGACGGAAAGATTCATCTTGAGATTGACCGAATGTGGGCTGGCATATATTCGACTTCCTGGCTGAAGCATTCGTTTTTTACTTCGCCGTTTTGGGAATACTCCACAAAACAGTATTTCAATTCGTGATGGACGTTCTCGGTGGATCGCACTTCACTGTAATTTCAACTGTTTTCCGAAGCAAAAACGTGGAAGTGTCTGAACTTATGGCAAGGATTGGAGGTTGGGAAATATACTGAGGCGCGATGTGCCATTTTCTGAATATACCTGAAAAAAAAAACTCTGGAGAATTGAATATAAAAATAAGTGTATGAGTAGTTGTGCTTGTGACATTAGACCATTCAGAGGCGTAAAGCAACAAACACTATCATGTTTTGCAAGTGGGGAAAATGTCTCAGAAAAAGTTTCATACGCATCAGTCTGTGGGTATGCGAATACTGTAGTTTACAACGGTCCGTCTTTCTGTGTAACAATACAGTACTGTACTGTACTCAAGAGATGAATGAATTCTTTTTTGTATAGGAAATATTCTTGTACGGGTGGATTCTCGTGTTCATTGAAGATGACGAAAGGTTAATCCATCACACCTTGGCGTTATTTTTGTGTCTTTGAATTTGGATTATTACAGCATAAGATTTTCCTCTCGAGTTGGAAAAATGCAGAAATTTAGGAATTACTCGTATTGGTTTCCTGATAAGTGTAGCCCATTTACCTAGCTAGGCTAAACATTCTTTGCCAAAATTGTCGTACGATTTTGATCAAATATCCTAGCGTTTAAGCAACATTTCGATTCGTTGAGAAAAAGCTAAGAAGCCTGTGCCCATCGTAACCTCTTAATTACGCTGCTTCTCGTGTCCCATGGACTTGGTTATTCAAGAGCATGCTTTCCCAGATTTAAAAAAAAAAAAAAACTGTCCGTATTCTCATGCGAGGTTCTTCTTTAAACCTTCTTAATATTTTGATTTATATGATTGTATAGCATTGGTTTATTCGTTGAACTGTGCTTATGATTCATTATCCGTTGAAAGGGCCCTGACTGAAGTACATATAACATGTGCTTACAAATATTTTTTTTGTTGCTGCCAACCGACCCTTACGTGTACATTAAAATTGCGGGAGACGGTTTGGTTGGTTCACCATAAATTTGGGTGCTTGGTAACAACCGACCTCCCCCGTATGCTACCGATTGTGATTGTGTTGGATGAGCACTTAATTGGGTAGAGTGGCGAGCTGGGGAATGTGATTTGGATTGTAGTGAGTTGAAATGAGAGGGACACGCCCCGGGGCGTGGGTGAGCACCGGAAATGAGATCCCTTCTTCACGCTAAGGTGGGGTTTTTTGTTCGGTGGGGAAATTTCTCCTACTTCTATGATGTAACGAGTTGGCGAGATTTAATACGAAGCACGCATTTTTTTGCTGATGTTTTACATATTTTCCATGATTCAATAGACGGTCGTATTTCTGCTCTTATTCGATTTCAATATTTAGCGCCTCATGATTCTGACTCTTTGGAAAACTATGGGATGCATTTTGAATTGCGTTCGTGGACTAGTCTTTTCGAGGGTTTTAAGCTTGATGCACGTTTTATTATGATGAATGTGAAATCAAGTGGCCTGTTTCGTCTTGAAGTTGATTCACGCGAGCATTTTTGTTATATGAGCCAGTTCGTGTACAGTGGGTATGGATTAGAGCGAAACTTTATTGGGTGTAAATTTAAGTACAGTACAGTACTTGAGGAAAACATGACCCATGTAGGAGTAAAATTTGTCTTCCTGGGAGGAGTTTTAAAAATATCAGACTCTCTTCGACATCAGTCCTCGAATAAATGAAGCTATCGTTGAAATGCCTTCAGAATATTCGAAAATTTCTTTTTCAGAGGTTACCGTGATTTCAAGTATTTTAGCGGATGTCGAATATGACTTGCCAATGCAACTGCAGTGTTGTTTAAATTCGAATATGCTTGGGGG